TGTTGGGGGAAACTGAGAGGAGTGAGGGGCAGCCCGCAGCCGCCCCTCGACAGAGGGGACGCAGGTGGGGCCAGGCCCCGGAGGATGGGGAGGGAGGGACCGGGGAAGACCAGAGACAAGGACACGGGAGGCCATGCCTCGGAGACGAGGCAGGGAGGGGTGACCAAGGCGGTGGTGCCAGAGGAGAGTCTCGTGAGACAGGAGGCGATACGAGCAGAGGGCAGACTCAGGACCAGACCTGGACGCTGCAGCAAACACCTGACCCGACGCAGCTACCTGACCAGACGCAGGGACAGGAGGAGACTCAGTGGTCAGGGTGTACAGGCTCGACCCCGGCCGACGCGTAAACGTGGCCAGGTGCCGGCCTGTGCGAGCGTCCGAGCAGTGGGTCACCCGCTGACTCGCAGGAGTAAACTGGTGAACCCCCGCATCCTGTAGGTCAGCACCACTCACCAAGTTCGTAGAGAACGAGGGGAGGTAAAGACCAGACAAGGTGCCAGAGGGGGTCGCCGGACACGGGAGGACAGTGAAGAAGTGAGAAAGGACAGGATCCCCAGAGGGGTCAGCCAGGGAGACTGCAACCAGCCGACCAAGCGGCGTGAGTGTGGTGCGGTCTCGAAAGAAGGAGCGAGAAGCCCCTGAGTCAAGTGTGAAGGTGAGGGAGGCCGAAGCCGACGCAGTACCTGCGAGCGCTGACGCACCAGCACCTGAGGACGCAGACGCACTTGCACCTAGAGCAGCAGCCTCACTGGCACCTAGAGCAGCAGCCTCACCAGTACCTAGAGTAGCAGTCTCAATGTCCGGGTCGGGCGGGAAACACCGGTAACAGTCACCCTCATCACTAATAGACACGGCATACATGGCAGAAAGGATAGCATCAAAATCAAGATCAAAGATGGCAACTTCCGCCCTAGACAGCTCGCCCCAGCGAGGGATCTCTGTGGCCTCCGGGAACTGGTGACGCCATGCGTCCGTCAGGCGGCCAAATCTGCGCTGGGTGGGGTGCGCACCCCCACACTGCTCACCCGCACGGTCGCCGGTGTGCAGGACGTAGGCGCACGGACCAAAACCCCCACCCTGCTGGCGTGCAGTGTACAACTTACGGAGCTGCTGAGGGGACAGGGTCTCTTGACCGCGCTACTGCTGCTGGCGCGGACCACCACCGGAGCCACTCCTCTGCGTAGACCCGCGACCAGCTCCACCGCCACCCCCGCCGCCTCCGCCGCCTCCGCCGCCTCCGCTACTACCGCCGCCTCCGCCGCCTCCTCCACCGCCACCACCTCCGCCACCTCCGCTCCCACCGCCACCGCCGCCGCCGCCTCTGCCTCCACTGCCGCCACCGACACCTCCACCCCCACCTCCACTCCCACCGCCACCCCCACTCCCCCCGCCGCCTCCACCTCCTCCTCCACCGCCCTCGCTCGCTCCTCCAGTGCCCCTGCCCCCCTTGCCCTTGCCAGAGCGGCGTCTTTCGCTAGGGGCGGACGCCGCACTGACCAACTCAAGACCAAGGAGGTCGGCCGCAGCAGCAGAGGCAACAGAGGGCAGAAGGGGGGAGGGGGAACACCCCTCAAAGATGGGGGTGCGCGGGTCACCACGAGAGGCCCATACAGCGACTATGCTCTTCTCGGCCGCTAGGAGGGACTTCTCGAGGAGGTCAACAGTGAGAGTGGTGGGACAGACTGAGAGGAAGTGGTCCCTGACTACGCGAAGGGAGTCAGGGAGGCGAGTGACTATGTAGTAGAGAGTGATGTACATGGGGGGGGGGGTTCTTGGCGCAGAAGTCAGCAGGAAGCGCAGCGCGGTAGCGATTGTCACTAGTGCGGAGGTGCGTAATGAGGTCAGCGAATGTGGGAAAGGCAGCAAGGTCAGGGAAGAGGTACGGTAGCATGAGACGGCTCAGTGCAGCAGTGGCAGGGGAGGAGTAGCGTGCAACTACAGCCTCGTACAAGGTCTGAGCACTCTTGTACTGACTAAAGTGCGCACGCTCAGAGGTAGGGAGGTGGCGACGCACAACAAGACGTGCAGCAGCATCGCGCGTGGCCCATTGTGAGCGAACAGTGGCGTCAGCATCAGCAGCAGGAGCAGGAGAGGCACCAGAGGTGAGGTCAAAGAGGGAGAGACCGTCTGCCCTACCGCACTGTAAGAACAGCTGCAGGTCATCTACCTAGACGTGAAAGTCAATGGCTCGACCCTCGGCGTCAAAAGTGAGGACACTAGGGGTAGCCATGACAACAGTAGATTAGCAGCGCACACAGTAGGGAAAGGGCAGTGCAGTGACAGAGGCGCTGTGCTTACCGGACGGGGCTGCTCGAGCGGCTTGGAGGTAGGGCGGCTCGGTGGCTCGGCTGCACGGCGGCTCGGCTGCTGGGCGGCTCGGCTGCTGGGCGGCTCGGCTGCTGGGCGGCTCGGCTGCAGGTCGGCTCGGCTGCTGGGCGGCTCGGCTGCTCGGCTGTCCGGCTGCTCAGCTGCTGGGCGGCTCGGCTGTTCTGCTGTACGCTGGCGCGGCGGTCGGCTGCTCGGCTAGGTGAGGCGGCTCGGGCGGCTCGGGTGGCGGGCGGCGCTGCAGTAGATGACGAGGCCGCAGGGAAGGCGGCAGGGCCGCAAGTGAGGACGGCGGGGACCGCAAATAAGGGCGGAGGGGACCGCAGATAATGGCGGCGGGGACCGCAGGTGAGGGCGGTGGGGCCGCAGGTAGGGCGGGTGGGCCGCAAGTAGGGCGGCTGGGCCGCAGGTAGGGCGGCGGGGTCGGGCCGTAGGTAGGGCGACGGGGCCGGGTCGAAGGTAGGGCGACGGGGCCGGTACGCAGGTAGGGCGACGGGGCCGGGGCGCAGGTAGGGCGACGGGGCCGGGGCCGAGGCGCAGGTAGGGCGACGGGGCCGGGGTCGGAGGTGGGGCGACGGGGCCGGGGTCGCAAGCAGGGCGACGGGGCCGAGGCCGGGGCACAAGTAGGGCGACGGGGCTATGACTGGGGCCGCAGGTATGGCGACGGGGCCAGGGTCGCAGGTGGGGCGACGGGGCCGGGGTCGCACGTAGGGCGACGGGGCCGAGGCGCAGGTAGGGCGACGGGGCCGGGGCCGTAGGAATCAGGGGCCGCTAAGGCGGCGCTACTTGGCCGCTAGGGCGGCTCGACGAAGTCAAAGAGGGGAGCGCGACTCGGGCTGAGCGCGCTCCGGGCAGGAAAAAAAAAAAACTTTCGACTTGGTGGGCCCTAGGCACAGTTCCCACGAGGGAACCTGCTCGATACCATGAGAAAACTGAAACGAGAATGATGCACTAAGGAATGGAATGTGGTACAAATATGCAACCCTAGAAATGTGTACCCCATATGGGCTACTCCACTACAGCCTACAGAACATTATGATTTGACACATGTAATGGAGAATACCGCTGCTGCTCACAATTGTGCTGCCAAGAAGCTGAAATCTGGTTCGTGTTCGGCACGGCAGAAGTGGCGGCAGCAACCTAAGTCGAGTTTCACTCGCAGGGCTCATGCATACGGTAGCAATGTTCAATGCTGGCAAGAAGCGCCGCCCTGCTCAAGAGTTCCTATACCGTATTAACTAATGCTCACTGCTAAGCTTATTCTGTTAGAACCAGGCACTGGTGCTTTAGTTGCTCTGTTAGTTAGTGCCATCTTTAATACGTAATCCACGCTTAAGTCTAAACATGAAAGGGTGAAAACAATGTGCACACTGATGAGCAAGAGTACCTTTCCAGCTGACACTGATAAAAAAGACTGACATGGCTGACCCAACCTTACTGAAAGACCAACTTCAGCGAACTGGCCTTGCGAGTAAGAGTGCCCCAAATCCTATCCAGAGGCCTGGCTGAGTGGGAGAACTGGCGAGAAATTGGGGTGGGGGGAAGGAAGAGGAATAAGAGCAGAGCAGGTGTGCTTGTCGAGTCGAGAGGAACCAGAAAACAAGAACCAAGAAAAGAGCGCAGAAATTGAGTTGGCAGCTGTGAAAGGGACGGATGCTAGCGCAGAGATGAAATTTCTGCCAGCGCAGAACAAGACAATTTCTGCCACCGCAGAACGATACAATTTCTGCCAGCGCAGAACAAGACAATTTCTGCCACCGCAGAACGATACAATTTCTGCCAGCGCAGAACAAAGCACCACATACAGTATACCGTTTTAAGTTAATAATTGGTCTAGTCGTAATTGTAACACACATACGGATATGCGTTATGAGAAAAACCAATTACAGATGGGGAGATCATGCATGGAGATCAGTCAGCTCATATCGAGTTTCCAGCACCAACGCAACCCATACGACGTTGAACGTCGAGTCTTGTTTGACATCGTATGTGTCTGCGTAGATCCAATTAGGTCATGGTGAAGGTGTTATCCCACTAGAATCGCTACGTCCACGACTCGTAGTGTTGTAGTAGAACATTTTAGCCACCCTGTGATGTAGGCTTCATCACACCAGAAGTGATGTGGGCTCATCGCTACGTCTTTGCTGCCGTTTCGCCACAAGTCGATGGGATTGCCCTTTCAATCTGTAGTACGCCGGTTGTAGGGCATGGGTGTCGCAGGGCACGGTCAGTCGCAGGCCTGTAGCAGGGCATTGGGTCTGGCGTGGAACGAACCGTCGCCATCAGGTTCACATGGAGTCCTTTCTTCAACTCCGAGTTCAGGTCAGGTTCGGACATCGTATCCTGCTACTGCATGTGCAGGGCCATCGTCGTACAGGACACGCACCATTTATCGAGTCAGACTCGTACTTTCGCCGATGTCGCATTACATGCAGGATAGCGGACATCGTGTCGCGCCGAAGTTCCAAAGTCGCCCCTTGCTCTCCCAAGCGGGTATATCTACCCACTCTCGGCTTTCAACTGCTTACTTCATTCCTGCAGTCTCAGACTGACCAGCAATTACCACTAGCCTGCGTTGCCATCGTTAGTAGGTTTCGACTCGGAGTCACCGGTACTAATACCACCTAAAGCCAACCCAGTCCCCCGAGCCGCATCATCTGCCGCAGTGCAACGCAATGGCCGGCGCCGCGGGCCTTCTCCCCGTGCTCGTCCTCGCAGCGTTGCTGCTTCAAGCGCCTTCCACCGCGTCCGCCCGCCTCTGGATCTGGAACGGCGGCCTCGTCCCCTTCATCCCGGAGCAACGCGCAGCGGAGGCCGTGCTCACCGCCGCGGAGTCCGCCAGAGCGACGGGGCCTGCCGCCGGTACCGTCGCTGCTGGCACGGAGACGGATCCGCCGCTCTCGCCCCCGCCAGTTTCAGCCGCAGCCCCGACGCCAGCTCCGACGCCAGCCCCGGCGGCGGCTCCTGCGGCGGCGCCCGCGCCAGCTCCTGCCGAAACGTGCGACGACGCGCCAGTGGACCCTTCGATCGTGTCTGGGTCCGCGCCCGATCCGTGTGCTGCGCTGGCGGCGGAGCTAACGCGGAGTGTGGAGAAACAGGGGAACAAGACCGGAGGGAAATGGTCGCAGCCCCCTCTCTCTTCCAGGCTTGCTACTCGACATTTCTGTTCAGGTACTACTACCAGTAGAGCTTTCGCTCGCACTACCGCCGCGGCTGCGTTTTCTAGAGTTCTCTTCCATCCACGTTAGAAGCATCATGCCCCGCTTTCTTTTAAAGGTGCTTCTCAAACTCGAGCTTTCCTGACCGGATGATTTTGAGAACTTATGATGGCCTCGATTTTCCCTGTTTGTATCTGCCAGGCAGAAGTGCGACGTGGGGGCCTGCTGTCGATCGCGAACGCGTTTGACAATCACTACGTGTACAAGCACATCGCCGTTGACTCGCCGGACCAGACCAACCTGCCGAGCAGCATCGATATTGTCGCGGAGCTGAGAAAGATCGTTGCGAACGGCGAGAAGGGGAAGTACTCTCGGCTGGTGGACGCGCACATGGCGGCGTACACAGCGACCCTGGCGCTCAACGATGGGCACAGCATGTTCGTACTGAATTGTTTCCTTGGGACTTACGACTTGCCGTTGCCACTCATGGTTGTTGTGGAAGACGGGAAGCAGATCATTCGCGTTGCACCACGCCGATGTAAGTATTTGACACTCTTTCTGTTATGCGTTATGCGAGTGTTAGAAACGCTCTTCTCTGTTGTAGCACCTGTTCAATGATATTCCCCTGTGAAATACTTTACTTGCATCCAAAAGCGCTGTAATTTCTGTCTTATTTGTTCCCTCTGGTCATCAGATGTCATTCCCAAGGGTATGCGACATGTCGCGAAGGTTTTGCATAATTTTGACTTCGACATTTACGAGGGCCGACGGGTATGTTACGGAATTAAGTGGAAGTCAATGTCTATGCCATTCAAGCAGCTGGTTAGTTTGAGTGCGTCCTTCTAGTGAGCTTTACACACCCAACCTACAAATTTGTTTTCAATGCTTCATGTGACGTCCCAGGTGGTGGCTATTAACGGGGAAAAGGCGGAAGATTTTATCCTGAACTGGGCAGACAAGGAATTGGGCATGTTTTGCAACCGGGCCGCGAGATTCACGAAATCCTTTGCGAGGAATGAGGCAGAAACAATGCTTGACGGGACGAACATTGTCCAGGTGCCAGGCGACTTCGTGCGACGATCCATTGCTCCCGAAAACAACACCCTATTGGTGTCCTTCGCAACAACGTGAGCTACTGTACTGGATGCTCATTGGCTCTTCCTTTCGCAGTGTGTGTCGTTTACTCCCCCGTTTCTTCCCTACAGTTCGCGTGCTGCGTTCAGCCCACTCGTCCCCTTTCACGCTTCATCCGTCCACCCACCCTGTTTATGTCGCACCCACTGCAACTCTCAGGGATGGAGGCTCAACGGAGGACGTACAGGTGCCATGGATCGGGACAACTAAGCGTGCTGACTTTGTGAATACGACGGGGTACTTTGTGCCATACCCAACGCATCAGGCGCTGCCGCTAGCGACACCAGCAGCCCGCAGGCAACCACGCTCACTTCCATCGGCCATAAGGCAGACATTCCAGTGATGGACAAGTCTCTCAAGCGCCACCCTGATCCAGTGTACTACGGCGATACCAGCGATGACAGCGACGACCTGAATGTCGAGATTGCGTCGCTTTCTGCAGCGGCAGATGGCTCTTCTGGTGCAGTAGCGGGGCAGACTGTAACGCGGATCTCACCAAAGGGTGAATAGTTTTCTGGTGAGCGGGATGGCTTCAGTTGTTGGGGTGAATGTTGGAGGCTGTGGGGTTCCTGTGTGATGGGTGCTTGGGTTTTTATCAATGTTGTTAATCTAAAGACGCCTGGGGCTTGCTGTTTGTACCGGTTGGTGTGTGTCGTCTAGGGGCTTGGGGCTTGCGTGTAACAGCAACTGACTGCCATGTGACATGCTCTGATCTGATCTCACTCGAGGCGCTCTCCGCACTTACGCAAACCTAAAACGTGCGCCCAACTTGCTTGTGTGTCGGTGTGTGTGTGTGTGTGCGTGCACATGCGCACATGTGTGCATGTGAGCGTGCAGGTATACCTGGTGGGCGGAAGCACGGCTGTGATCTGGATTCACACATTCACTCCCAGTGATGCAGTGTCAGAGGTGCTGGCGGAGAGAAATGTGAATGCGGAGAAGTACATGGTGCAGGAGGTCGCCAAAGCTCTTCTCACCGCGGCAGCGTCAGTACTCCTCTTGCAGCCCCCCTTCCTTCTAGGCTTCTACTTCCCCCACCAGTCCCCCTTCCTTCTACCCCTTCCAGTCCCACTTCCTTCTACCCCTTCCAGCCCCCCTTCCTTCTACCTGTTCCAGCCCCCCTTCCTTCTACCCGTTCCAGCCCCCCTTCCTTCTACCCGTTCCAGCCCCCCTTCCTTCTACCCCTTCCAGCCCCGCTTCCTTCTACCCCTTCCAGCCCTCCTTCCTACCCTGCTCTTTGTTTCATGCTATTCACCTGACATTCTGACCTCATCACTTTCCCACCCACCCTCCTTTCCCTACTTGCTCATTCCCCCGTGCCTCTGTCCATGTGTTCCCGCACACGTCCCTTCACAATCCCCCGATGCCTTCCCCCACGCTCCCCACCATGCCTCTCTCTTCAGATCCAACGCCACTCAAATCATAATAGACGTGCGTGGCAACGGTGGCAGCCACACCGCAGCAGCATACACAGCCATCCGCCTGCTCATGGGGGCAGCCAAGGTCCCGGACTCGGAATTCTCCATGCCCGTGGATTTCATCATCGGCACCCCGTACACCGAGAATGCCATCAGCGCTCTCTCCCTCGATCCCAATACGCACTACTACTACAGAGGATACTCCGACCTCAACGGAACGACACTCACAAGCGCCTTTGACTACGCTCCTTTTCGCAAGCTCCGCTTCACAGTAGTCTTATGCTGATGAACGGTGGCCAGCTAGCTGTTTGGCTGACGATGTTTATTTGCAAAATGTGTTGATGGGGGTGAGCTACATTATCATGCTGATAAGTTGTGTTTTTTTTTATCCACCAGGTTTCACAGATGGTAAGGTAGCTGTTGCTAATATCTAGAATGATGTTGATGCCGTTTCACCCTTAGAGGTGCACCTACCAGCGCCGTATTTGGCTGGATAGTGGATCCAGGCTGGCATCCCTGAAAAGTAGGAAGGCGCCTTGCACCCTACCAAGTTACGGTAAAGTTTTCTTTGTAACACACCCTGTCGTTCTCACAATCCACTTCTAAGTGATGTAGCGAACTCTGAACGTGTGATGCCAGTTCAGTGTGTGCGGTTTAGTGAGTGCGGCTGTCAACATGTCAGCAAAACATTAAAGAATGTTCGACCCAAAAGAAGCATTTCAGGAGTGGGAGGGAGGGAGACGAGGGGGTGGGGGAGGTAGTCCGCTCGGTTGCTCGTTTTACTGTCAAGGCCGCTACGAATTCTGTCCGTACTTCATTTCGTGAAGGATCTTTATCAGTTGGATTCGAACAAAGAACACTAGATTGATTCTGCAAATTAGATATGAACCTATAGATACACTTCTTGTGTCCATTTCACGGAAATAGTGCCTATTCCTCCGTAGGATCTGTTCATGGGTTTAGGCCATAAGTCCTTCACACTAAGATCGCGACTACACTGGAACACCATCAGCTGGATTACAAACTGGGAATAGATCACAAACTCTGTGAACAATACCATCAACTGCAACAGTGTTCGTAGGGATCATGTGCTCAAACCACAAGTAGTTCATGATTTCAGCACTTTCTCACTTCGAGTGCTGCTTTTCTCAAGCATCATTGCACGATGCCTCCAAGAGGAAGAAGGGCGTCGGTCGAAGTTGTCACCCCTGATGATGGCTCTTCTCCCGCGTGGCATGTGGACACAGTCAAGAAGCAAGAGGAAGGGAAACAATCAGCGGATTCAACACCTGTGAATGAAGGAGCTGACGAGAATCATGGAGCCAGCAGCTCTGGTCTCTCTTTGGAGTGTAAACTAAAGACGATTGCCATCTCTGATGCGTTTGACGACGGGTTTCTTAGGGAGGAATTCGACAATGAACTCGACATTGACTTTCCCAAGGAAGTTGCATTGCGTCTTCGTGTTACCAATGTTTTGATAATACCTGTCGTTTTGCATTTTAAAACGTTGGTTTATGTAATTTCAACGATCGAGACATTGACGAAGACATTATGAATCTCTTACTCAGACATTGCCAACTTCCAAGTTATGTAGCCATCCTTCATTGCGAAGATCCGGTTTTGCGGTCTTCAAATCTCCTTCCTTTAGGAATATGATGCGGACAACATCAAGAGGCATGGAGTGGAATATCTGAGATATAACGGCACAACGACCAAACTCTGCTGGCAGCACACTGAGAACCCAATCTACGGTAGAAACTTTTCATTGGACTTCACGAAACCCAACTCTTATCCTTACCTTGCAACCAATAACATGTTGGTTGTTTCTTGCATCGGCCTCGATCTGCACCTTGCAACTGGTGTACACCATCCTCTGGGACCCGACGATCGTACCCATTTTAACCGCGAGCAATAGTAAAGAGTGGATTTGTATGCAAGCTCGAAAAGGGAAAGCGAAGAGGAAGTCCTTCACAGCTGTTACATATCTTGTGAACTTGGTGACTCACCTGGTCAATCTGAAGAACCTGGACTCCGCCATCCGATCCTCACTTGACAAAGGCGAACCTCAGCACCGTCCGGAAGTAATACAATGTAGCCATGCATCAGCTGGGTAAGGGTACATTCGGCTGTTGACCATGTCCCAATCGATATGTCCCAATCGATTTTAGCCCGAGTCGCGCTCAAATGTTTCGAGTCTGCATGTCCCAATCGATCGATGTATTGCGACTCTGCACAGACGCGCGACAATTATATGCGATCGACTGTGATTGGTCAGAGAACAATTTGACCCACTCGTGAGGGGTTGGGAGGAGGAGGATTTGTGGGGTGGGAGCACTGGAACAGGGGGAGGGCGCGCTGGTGGGGGCGTGCGCATCCCTGTCAATAATTCCGGGAGTGTCCAATCGACCAATCACGAAGCTGTGTACGCGTTGTTGGGGATAAGGGGGTTTTTCCAATGTTGTCCAGATACATGCTGCATGAGTTGACATTTGGCACCGCGTGCGACTACTGGGGTGTGTTGCAATTAGCTGGCGAATGTTCCGTGTTTCACGTCACCCAATGATAAATACATTTGGCGACAACGACAGGCGGCCCGGCATTCTGACACCTGGCAGCATATGCTGTACGTACGCGTCCCAATCGATTGGGACATGGTCCACAGCGGAATGTACCCTAAGAGGTCCTTAGCAAGAGTAGGATGGTGCTTGATGTTGGGTTCGATTGCTCTCTACAATGTGCGGATGCCTAAGGGCCGGCATTAATAGACATCATGATCCTCTCAACAACTAAAATAGCAACATTCCGTTACTTCTGATTTCACTGATACATTCATCCGTAATCACAACTTCACCTATCCAGCGAGAGCCGGCGATTTAATTGTCGTTTGCGGGAATCCCCACATCCAGGTACAGGGTACCTTCACTTGTACTGGTAGACTTGTAATGGTTGAGGTGCGAGGTCTTGTCTTGCATCTTTTGTTGCTTGCAACATACTTTCCTGTAAATGTGGTCTATAGAAGTGACTGTTATGTTGGGACTAGCACTCGATCAACCGCCAAGCAGCTCACATTTGCTCCTGAGAGGGGATGTAAACACACTTGAAGACCCCATCCTAGACAAGTCAATAAAAATAGGTAGAACAACAAAGAATGATAGATCAGTGCAGTAATGTCTAGATCTCTGAGCGGCGGGAGGTGTGGTGCTTCATACTTAGCAGCATGACGACCTACTTCCAGAATAGATCGTGCACTTATCTCTCAAGCACCCCTCCCACGCCTAAAATCAGCCACCAAAACTGATATCTGACCACAACTTCGCCATTCGGGTTGCCTTTCGAATGAGCAGTCACGTGTATACCGGTCATGGGCTTTGGTGATTGCATGGATTTGCGGTTGGCAAAGCAGGGGTCACAAAAGCAGTTGAAGCAACAACTGGGCAAGAGGAAGGTCAAACATGCCGGAATTTGAACCGAAACTCGCATGTCTCAATGCAGGCCTTTGGGCGTATATCAAAGAAGAAACTAGCCAAATAAAGCTCAAGGCCCAAATCGCGGGCCGCGTAGGGCAAGATTTGTAATCTTGCACACTTTTCGCTTTTTGTGTTGTATATTGGCGAAAAACTGGTTACGGTGGTTACGACGCAATCTGATTGGTCGAAGCAACACTCACTGCCAAAACATCAAGTTTCTCTACTCTACAATTTGGGACTCGAGGTCCTCAAACGCACGCTCCCCCCTGAAGCTTGCCAACTCAGCGAAAAGTCACGTGTTGCAGCGAAATCAGACAAGTCAACAACCCCACCCCCTAGCATCTTGCGCAATTTGGGCCTTGAGCTTTAAGGGGCACAACGGCACACCTCACCACTGGAGTGGCCGCCTTGAAGCATGGTAAGAACTCCTGGTTGCAGGAGGCAAAGGGAGGCCTTGATGGTGAAAGAGCTCTAACTGAAGGAGTATCATGCATCTCGTCATGGTAAGCTTCACGTGCGTGCGCCTCTTAGCAACAAGAAAATCGCAAAAGCAAACTCAAATTTCAGAACTGCAAGTGCTCGGTGCAGTGGTCAATGGCTCATAGGGTATTCAGCATGCTACGTCGAAATACTTAGCATATATTTCTGGAAAGGACTGCCGCACGAACCTAGAAAGTTGTGTCAGAATCCCAGTCACTAGACCATTGGGATAGAAGGGCTTGTTTCAGTAGCGGGTCAGTGCGCCCATAACCCCCCAAGCAAACGCGCCTGTAACCCTCTCCAGGATCGATCGGGCATCCACAGTGCAGATCTACTGACAAGTTGGTCATCATTGCCAGGCGGGAGGCTTGATTTTGAGGATGCAAAAAGCTTGGCGGCGGATTGGTTGGAGCAGTAGGTGAAACTGGCTTTTACGGCCGTGGCGAAGTACAAATTGTCGAGTAGTGGTGGTCTTTCGACGGAGTTCTTTGAGATGCACCGGGACATCCTGTGGTGGATTTTTATGTCCCAAGCGATGGAATTTGTCGAGACGACTTCGCTCCCTGCAAGCTTTAAAGAAGCAGTCACCATCCTCCAGCATAAGAAGGGAAAAATGGATGAGTTGACTAATTATCGTCGTATCAAACCTTCGAACTTTACTTACATAGTGCTAACGCGAGTGGTCGCATGCATAATGAAGAGAGTACTCCACGGAGTCATATCTCCCTAGAAATATGGTTACATACGGGGCAGAAGGCTCTCCAATGCGGTGGGGGTGGTTGCAGATGATATTGAAGCATCTTGTAACAGGGACGAAGACTGTTAGTGGTTGACTTCACAAAAGCCTTCGCCTCCATCTCGAAAGGTTTTATCTTCTCGGTGCTGAGGGCGATGGGCTTTCCCTCACGCTTCATCGAATGGGTGGAGGGCTTGCACAGTGGAGCATGCACGAAACTTCTGATAAACAGCAAGATAAGGGAAGCTTCTGGCTACTAGCAAAGAGAAGCTTCTTGGGAGGAACCTAAACAGACGCTCGGGAAGAAATGAGGGTTCAAGTGGGCCCGGTTGCTGGGGGTGTGGGTGCCGCCGTCCGAGAGCTGCCCTGCTGACCAGAATCCGGGCTTTAGAGAACACAGCGAAGGAGGTGTTGAAGTGAAAAGTGAAATATTTTACTGTGACAGCAAGGGTTGCGGCAATCAATTGCTACATCACGCCAATCATTGCCTTTCAAGCACAGGACTACCCGCCGGTGGAGGGTTATGAAAATCTTTCATAACTACAAGTCGGTGAACAAGGCTTCGACGCGGAGGGGTTTCATTTTGTGGAGCAACAATCTGCT